AAAAGGTCCAAGAGACTGACAAAGCCTCACGAGCTGTTAGCAGAACTGATCTGGAAAGCAAGGACCCGGATCAGGGAGTTAGCAGGATGTGATTTTAAGTGCATTCACATCCCAGTTGAGTTAAAATCAGGTCAAAATACTATGAAAATACTGGAACAATTGTTTCAAGAAAATGAAGTGTTGCAGTTTGCTCTGGATTCCTACTCAGGACAAATTTTGGTAGCGCGGCCCGCTCACAAATTGTTTGAACAAGATGTTCAATTTACTTTAAAATTGAGAAGTGCTCTAAGTAGGAGACCTTTAAAAAGGGCTCTGACTGTCTTTACAGATGTGTCCGGGAGGTCCCACAAGTCCGTTATGACTTGGAAGGGTCCTCAAACCCAGCAGTGGGAGACGGACATTGCTGAGGTGGAAGGTTCACCTCAGGTTGCTGAATTGGCGGCAGTCATTAGGGCTTTTGAAAGGTTCTCAGAACCATTTAATCTGATTACGGATTCTGCATATGTGGCAGGAGTAGTATCCAGGGCAGATCAAGCAATACTGCAAGAAGTGTCTAACATCGCACTTTTCAAATTGCTCTCAAAACTGGTAAAGTTAGTCTTTCACCAAGAGCAACCATTTTATGTGATGCATGTCAGGTCACACACTGACTTGCCAGGGTTTATCGCTGAAGTTAACAGAAGAGCAGATGCTCTTGCTGCACCTGCAGAGATGGCCACTCTCCCAAATGTTTTTGAACAGGCAAAAATCAGCCACCAGCTTTTCCACCAAAATGCACCTGGCCTGGTTCGTCAGTTTAACATCACTCGAGAACAGGCCAAAGCGATTGTGGCCACATGCCCAAATTGCCAACAACATGCACTCCCTACAATGAGTGCAGGAGCAAACCCAAGGGAGTTGAACAGTTGTGACCTGTGGCAAACAGATGTAACACATGTACAATCACTCGGAAGGCAGAAATATGTTCATGTCAGTGTAGATACCTTTTCTGGAGCGGTCTATGCCTCTGCCCACACAGGAGAATTATCCTCCAATGCCATAAAGCACCTCCTACAGGCTTTTTCTTTCATGGGCATCCCCAAGGAGTTGAAAACTGATAATGGGCCCACTTAAAAATGCAAGGAATTCAAGAGCTTCCTGCAACAATGGGGAGTAGAGCACAAAACTTGCATCCCCTACTCTCCTACAGGTCAAGCCGTAGTAGAAAGGACTCACCATGATATCAAAAGAGTCCTGGGCCAGCAACAACAGGTCCTGATAGTAGAACCTCTCCACATCTGATTGTCCTGGGCACTGTTCACAATCAATTTTCTGAACTATTCATTTGACAGCCTAAATCCACCCATCCTATGCCACTTTGGGGGGAGCAGTCAGATGTCAGTGAAAGAAAGGCCTCCAGTCAGTAAAGGACCCTGAGACTTGGAAGAAAGTGGGACCTTACAAATTGGTTACATGGGGACAGGATACGCTTGTGTGTCCACCCCTCTGGTTTAAAGTGGGTTCCTTCCAAATGGGTAAGGCCCTACATCTCCAAGATCTCAGGGCAGTCTACCGAAGCACCCCAAGTTGCTAATGCTGCCTGGAGAAGGAAACGCCTCACGTGTTCCCTGGAAGAAATTCCATGTACACCTTCTGTCTGAAATAGTTTGTAATATATTTCTGTCTTAAGTTTGCTTTTACCAGTTTAGATCCCGCTGTTCGTGTGCAGTCTTAATACACCATGACACCGAGTCTGCTCCTCATCCTGCTCACGATCATTCCACCAGTGATCTCCTGGATAGTCCCTCAGCCCAAAGCAAATGTATGAACCACCTTGGCCAAAGCCCTTGGACAAGATCACATTTGTCTCTCCACAGCAACAGCCTCTGACCCCTTGTCAACTTGCCTGGTGGGAGTTCCTTTTAAATCCACAGAATTCCTAAACGAAACTTGGAATGCTTTAAATGAACTTAACTCACTTGCACCTCCTCCTGGTCGCTGCCCTGCTGAAAATCTTTTACTGTTTTGGCAGGAGTGGGCAAGACAGTTACCAGTGTCAAAAAGGGAGCCACAAGAACTTCATCTCCTGGGCTCCATGAATGCAACTTTTTCCATTCACTTTAAATTCAATTCTCAGTTACCTTATTATGAAGCTAAACAAAACACCTATCCAGACCATAGCAACCCACACTACACAGACAAAAACTGGTGCAAAAATTCAGTCCTAGTCATGCACTCATCAAGTGATGATTATAAGCCCCCTGAGCTCCCCAAAGGTGCGTTTTTAATATGTGGAGACAGAGCATGGGCAGGTCTCCCCCCTCATCTGCTCAGAGGTCTATGCACCTTTGGCAAGCTGAGCCTGTTCACCCCAAATTGAACAAATTTAATGCATTGGCAAATTAAAAACAACACACATTGGCTATCAAAAAAGGTGACCTAAGGCAATTGGACCCATACTGTAATTTGGAAATTGTTCACTGGTCCAGACTTAAGGCCACCGCAATCCTTCTGCCGTGGATCTTGGCAGCAAAAAGCAGGGAGAATTAGGCCGATTGGAATGTTGGGTTGCAAAACAAGCAAACCTCACTTCTACTGCCCTGAGTGACCTCTTATCAGATGAGGAAATTACCAGGCAAGCCACCATTTAAAGCAGGGTGGCCATAAGCTATCTGCTCCTTCTGTACAACCATTGCTGTGAATAATTTGAAGGTCTCTGCTGCCTCAACTTGTCATCAAAAGCAGAGAACATCCATGCCACGATCAACAAAATGAAAACCATGGTGAACAAAATCAAGAGAGAAACAGATGACTGGTGGAGTGGACTGTTCAAGAGCTGAGGACTCTTGGGCTGGTTAGGATCTATTCTGAAAACTGTGTTTTTAGTACTGTTTATTCTAGTTATTGTTATTGTAGTTGTTAGCATTGTTTTTGGGCTAATCAAGCACATGGTTTACAAGTTAAATTCAATCTCATCTTCCTCTCCTGAAGTCTACTATTTGGAAGCCCCTAGTGCTTCAATGGATGACCTGTAAGCCTCAGTAGAAAACACTGACCCTCCTGAAGAGAAGGAACCAATTTACCAGCCATGGTCTGGTGAGCATTCTGCCCCCCAAACCCAGTCCTCTTCATTTTAAACAAAAAAAGGGGGAGATGTTGCAGTGTGATTTTAAGGTTTACCCCAGAACCCAGGTCCCTCCCCTGAAGATTCCCTCCCAGGTATGTCAATCATCCTTCCTTTCCCCACCCTGACCCCTGCCGAGCACTGTTTGTCAATTCTGGCATTCCAGAAGGGCGTTGACTGATTGGCAGGTTCAAAGGATGCCCTCTACCCCCAGGAAGCATTGAGCCATCCAGGTGTCCTTTGTCCCTTAAGACCTCCTCGCATGTGCCTGGTTGGTGGGCTTCCTATCCCTTCCCTCCCCCTCTCCCCCCAGGTAAAAGGGAGAGCAACCATACACTCTGAGAGTTCTGTTGCAGCTCTTGCTGGATTCAGAGGCCTGTGGCCCAGAATAAAGGCTCTGGATTGAAACCCTCCATCAGAACCGACTCCTTCCTTCACCATTTCCTTAAAGCCTCTCTGTCAGAGGCAAACCTGAGGAGCAGACCCTCTTATGTGAGGAAGCTCCATCCTGCCACCACCGGAGCCCCAGCATACCTAGACTTGCCTCCATATGCCCAGCCTCAACACAGAGCTAGCCAAAAGTGTCTCTGGGGTGAAACACCACAGCGGCTGCTATTTGATTCAGTAACAATCAGTTCATGATAAGCAGCAGAACAAGCTGCACACAGAGCCTGGACAGGCATAGTCAGCCAAGGATTTGGTGCTTGGTCATTGAGACTGGGAAAGAAGCAGTCTCAGCCATGGTGTGGGTGCAGGGACACAGTGCCTGGAGAGGCACAGTCCGCCCAGGAATGCGGTCTGGGACACAGAGTCTGGGAGAAGGATATTTAGCCCAGGAATCTGTGCTGGGACACAGAGCCTGGAGAGGCACAGTCAGCCCAGGAATGGGTGCTGGGATCCAGAGCCTTGAGAGGCACAGTCAGGCCAGG